CTTATGATGATAATTAATCGTTGACTCTTACTGAATTCTGTTAAATTTGAAGTTTTTGCAACCTCCAGTTTGAGAATTTTCTCTTGGAGTTACCGTAGGATATACACGGTTGGAGTCTTTGTACTGGAATCCTTTTCTTCATTTATCGGCCAAAGTGAAACAAAGTGAAATGCTAGATGTCCATGGTATCCTACTCTTTTTGTTTGGATAGTATGCGTAACTGTGAGCCCAATTTTTAATAATTTAGTTTACAGAGTGAGCAGAAGCTATTGACCTCATTTTTAGAAATTCCTTGCGCAATGTAGAATTGATTGTTGTAATGATATTGGATCATTTATTTGAGAGTTACATTTGAATTTTGAAAGGATGCATAGGCAGTTATTTATTTGGAAAATTTTTTCCGAGAAGTGAGACCATTCAACTGAAAGAATTTCATTCAACTGAAATTTCATTAAGAACTTAGATGCTGTAATAATCTCTGAATTTGTTTAGCTTCATGACTTGCTAGTTTCTTGGCATTTCCAGCTCTTTTTGGGTTCTGATTGGTACTTTTCAGGCTCGTTCCAATGGAAAAAAAGAAAGAAAAAATCGTAAAGATAATTTAAGAATTAAAATTTTGACTGACGGAGTCTTAGTTTTTGAGATTTTGAATTGTATAGAGTCACGTCAACAATTAGTTTAGATAATTTTGGTCTGTTTCAGAGGTTTGTACCCGCTGCAGAATTTTTCTTTTCAAAAAAATTTGTTTTATTCATTTTTAAGCAGGCAGCATCGGGAAGCATTATTCGATGGATCTGCTTATTTTCATTTAACATTTGGAATGTTTTTCTACTTCAGCCTAATCCAATTTTTTTACCCAACTGTTAGAAATTGCCGGGAGGATATACACTATGCGACATAAATGCTGTCCGAATTTGGTATAATAGAGCATAGAAAATCGAATGGGTAACCTTTAAAAAATTAGACAGCATTTATGTCCTTTCAGTGTAGTATGGAGCAACTTTGGCGGACCCCACTCCTATGTCCACCATAGAAAGGGATAAATTTGAGTCCAGTGGACCTGTGTCGCTGGTGGTGATGGTGGGCGTGTAGCGCGGAGTAGGGGTTTATATTCACATGCATAGAAATAATTATGCTAATAATTACCCTCATTGATTTGAAATTAGCCCTTTTGGAATGTTTATTGAAATTAGCCTTGTTTTGAATTATATGAAGTGTCATGAGTAGTAAAATTACATACAGTATTCTTCATAATTTTTATATTCATATGTTATTGACGCATGCGCATGAAATGGGCATCATATTGCAATTGAAGGCCTGGATGCCATTGGATCAGAGGAGTTTACATCAGATCCAGCATGCTAAACCGCCAAAAAAAAAGTTACTATAAGCATTACACCCATAATTCATGTTGATTCAGACAGATAAACTGAAAAATGGAAGAAATAAAATGCTACGTTTATGATCGTAATAAGTCTTAATTCAATCCAATGACTATATAATCCAATAAATTTTAATGCAACATCATGTTCAATTATGAATATATGGTAATTGCATTCGAAAAACTCAATAAAATGTTCGCCCAAAACTTCTGATCTGAATTACATTTGACCTAAAAATAAAAATGTTGATAAAATGGCGACAGTTGGTATAAAAGTGTGGCAGTAGGTAAAGTAAATTTCATATGATAACTAGCGAAACATGAAAAATATAAAACGGATATGAATTCAAACAAGTCATTGTATATCACGTAATGATAGTATACAATTTATATATTAATTCTTCAGAATTGTATTGAAAATTTCAATAAAGATCAGCAGAAGCTCAAAAATTATGAATCAATTATGTTTCAAATTATGTCATTTTCCAAGAGCGGTCTTCTTGTCGGTCAAAAAAGTCATGCGAAATCAATCTAATTTCGTAACATTTATTTATTTAATGCACAATAATTCTTATTAATATTTGAAAACAACATTTTTTCTTCGAAAAGTACTATTTCCGTATCATAAACTCAACTAATTCAATAAATTTTGAAATATTTAATAGTATACGTTTAGATGTTGTTTTTTACGGAAAAAATTTATAAATATATGAATATTATTATGTAACATTCTTTATTTTTGTACTCACGAAATCATTAATGATATGTTGGTACGATTGTAGAAGGCAAAAATAACTAATTCTGTAAAATCTGCTGTCAGTACTCAAACAGGTGATACATTATAATGAATTAAATGATTTTATAGCTCAACAATCAACTAAATTAATAATTAAGTCGATGTTACAAAATTTATTTGTGAAACAAAAATATTGACAATGTCAATTAGATGGTTCACCTCGAGAGATACCACCTTTTCGTTCCACAAATAATAATGTAACAATCGTACATTACTTGGTTTTCATTTATCTTAACATTAATTATTGTTGCATAACATTCATTAAAATTTTATAATAAATTAATCAACAGTTTTTATTGCTTTATCGATTTTTTGTGTTACTAACAATTGTACGGTTTTGTCTCCTTCTATAGATACGCTTATAATTGTATTAATAAAATCTCTTGAATCACCGTATAGATAAACAGTTTCACTACAAATGTCAAGATAGACTATTTTTATGTTTCGGAGATGTGTATTTAATAAAAAATTTATGTTACCGACTATGTTAGTAAGCGAAAAACTTTCTATTATTTTTATTTAATAATGCTATCAAAAATCAAGCTTACGATCATTTGTCTCATCCGTTGATGATCATTACTTTTTTAAAGATTAGTTATAGTTCTCATATAATTGTTTCGTATGATGTCTGGTTATCATAAAGAACTTAAAAATATCATAAAACCTTACATATTATTGATAAAGATTTTTGAACTAGCTTATGATATTTTCATAAAATATTGTCTGAATAATTTCCGAAATAAATAAATTGTTTGAGGATTCATACAAATCAGGTCACCTCTATGACCTTGATAGTTTTTTTGTCTGTTGGAAATGAAAAAACAGTACATAGTTAGCAACGACAGATTATGATGTATTCGTGAATTTTTCAATTACTCATCAATCATGGGTAGTATGAAATTTACATTATCAATATTAATTTTATTAAATATTTCAGAATATTGGTAAAGTTGTTCGATTTTTCCTAAATTGTGGACTGAAACACAATTTATTCATCATAGTATTTTTATTGTGAAATTTTACAAAAAACTAATAGTATTTATATTATTTACTTTCAGTATATTCTTCATGTTGTACAATAATTTCAGTTGGATGAAAGTGAATAATGATAGTGCTAGCAAATGCTTGAAGAATGTGACTTGCGAATGACAAAAATTGGGAAATGTTTGAATTTACTTGACAATAATGAAAGTAACATCGTTTACGGAATGCTTCAGGATAAATATTATTTATTGCAAGTGAAAATAAAACACATTAGAGATCTTCAACTATAGTGGTGAAGTAAAGGCAATAATTAATACCGTTTACGTTCATACGCTCAAAGATTACAGCATTATTTATTTCATCAGACAATAAAGGCATGTCACAAAATCATGTCAATTGTGATATAATATTGTTATATATCAAAATTCGTTAAGGTTTATGGAATATTTGAAAATCGTGTTCATTATAATTAAACGATTATTAACTCAAAAACATTTTTCACTAAATCTAGTTACAAAAATATTTTGTTTCTGTACTGTTTTATTCTTTGTCACAATTACACTTAAAAACTGGTATTTCAAGTTGCAAAATTATCAGTACTTTAACAATGTTAAAAAATTCGTCAATTCTTTGGCTTCTTATCAAGCAAACTACTCACCAAAGTTTCTTAATCATAAAATAATATTAATTTTCCTAGTAAGTTTTCTTTTTAACATTCATAAATATATTTTTTTAGAATGAAAATAGTGGTTTATGAAAATATTTAGTTTTTTCTGCATTATTAATCGTGTCAGTAGCATTATTATTACTGTTAGTATGGGATTGGATTCCAATCGCACAATTTTCAATATTGATCAAGGAAATGGACAATGCCGATTTGATAGTCTACGTGAGCGCCTTCTTGAATTACAATATAGATAATATAGCTAACTTTTTTCAGTATTAATAACAATGCATATTTATTCTACTTTTCTTAGTTCAGCCAGAATCGTCCAACACACAGGACATCTTAGTATCGTTTGGTTTCTTCTTGCTGAGTCATTCATTCGTTCTAAACATGCTTCACAAATAACAAGATGTTTACAAGGTAAGAATTCAATTTCTACTGTAGCGCCAACGCAACCCAAACACCGGCCGTCACCTGTGACTAAATGACCTTCTACAACATTTATCAGAATCAAATTAATTACATTCATCACTGAAATTTTGCGAAGGTATTTGTCTATAGTAAAAATAACTATTTCAACCTTATATTAATCTGTCTCCTCTGATAAGAAAAGAATCTTCAACGGGTTCATTACGATTTGTTACGTTGTCGTTCATATTGGCGAGTTCTTTAGCTGTAACATGGTAAAAAAAATCAACAATGATATTCCTTTGAATTGGACGAGAATTTTTTTTTTTACTGTTCATTACTTAATGTGAATATATTATCCGTACTTATATCACGATCAAGCATTGAGTAAGCTTGAATGAAGTAATTATGATAGATTTCTGAACAAAAAATGGAACAAGACAATTAATAATAATCATCTATACTTTTGTTAATTAATTTCTCACCGAGATAATTACAAATGGTGTTATTACGACGAAACAGTGAACTGTCAATCATCATCCAATGTGAATCTTGACAATTTAAAAGTGAATCTATGTCTTTGAAAAAACTAAAATTTTCTGGACCAACATTCACTATCCAATTGTCATTATAGTAGCAAAATAATTCAATCATTTCTACAGGCATAGTATTTTCTAATACGTTGACAGTTTCAATAATGGGATCCGAAGGAAGTAAACTCAATGAAATTAATTTCTTAAAAAAATGAGGTTGTCACTGTTCAACTCAATATTTAATGTTACTGCTTTTTCAAGAATTATCTAAGATAAAACGACATCATCAAATAACCTATTTTTCAATGACAGAAAATTTTACTTACTTCATACCAAATTAACATATATTCCAATGTGAATAAAATTTTCCTTTCAACATTGTTTCATCATCGAATACGTTTTTTAAGATCAGGTAGACATTTTCGTTAAAATTGTAATATAATTTGACAGGAGCATAATCTACATGTGTGGTATTTTACACATATTTATGTTACACATAACTCCATCTTTTTTCACAAAATCAAACACATTATCAAACAAAACTAATGGCAAACTTACATAATTTCGATGTTTAACAATTATCGCTAAATTTGGAACAATATTCATCGCGTGTGGAATGTGAGATTGATTTATCGTAATGAAAAGTGGTTCATTATTTGTAGTGATGATTGAAGATAGTTGATTATCTGTGAAAGTTGCTCCAACAATTTCATTCATTATATTTGTCCAAACTATTTGCATTCGTATTCCGCCATTATTATGAACCATCAACTGGCCATATATAGTTTGATTGATTGTTTCATGTAACTGATCGATAGATAAAACAGCCCGGAAATCTCTATTGTTTCGCCATCGTCTCATATGTGGTAAGACTTTTTGAACGAATAAATTAATGCTGCTTCTCGATGTCTACAATAAATTATAACACTTTTTAAATATACAAGGAAAAAACAGAAACATTAAATATGTTATGATAATAGTGAAACGTATTAGATCTTATGCATACCTTAAATGCATACAAATTTAAACCATTCAAACACATTAATAAGCTGTAATAGAACAATAGCCGCTTACATGATTGATAGATAGTTGTAAATCGCTTGTGAACTTTGAAATTGTGTTCTACAAGCGTCTTCGAAATTTATTAGAAAACGGTCTGTTATATTTAAATCTGCATCTGGTGCGTGGTTGTGAATAGTTACAGGTACAAAAATACTATCAACAATTCTACCTCGACCATGACAAAAAAGACTTCTGTAGAACCTGCATCGCAAATATCTGTAGATTATATAAGTAAGAAACAGTACAAATATAAGAACAACTATAAATATAATTTGTTTTTTTATAATTCATAATCGTATTCATACTGATACTAATATAATCTAGAATAATTGGGAATCCATTTACTGTTAAATGTTTGAACTCAATAAGTACTTTTTTTGCTTAAAGATTGACTTCTTCTTCAAGTGGAAGATTTTCAATATATCAATACAAACATCACTATTCGTGTCGAAATATAAAAATAAGTGATAATACGTGTTTATTACTTCCATAGTATTGTTATATCTCCTATGCACTAAATATGAATATCCTTCTTAAAGATTTTCCGTAAAATTCTGATGGTGATTATTCATATTTAACCACTAAATGTAATACACGCTGAATAAAGTCGAATTTCCAACGATAGTCGATCAGGACATGAAAAAAATTAATTATCCTAATAGACAGTTAAATTTATGCATTATTTGCTTCACATTACACCAACATGTGGTTGAATATTAGTTTATAAAGAATTTAATTTTGCTGCCCACTAGAAAAAGTATTAGAATCGGTAGTAAAAGTACGAAAGTTTGACTAGATAGTGCATTTCGTTGAAGCTGTGATAAATAGAAATTTTATATATACGATTATTGTGATTTACAATATACACGTGTATTATTACACATATTATGTGTACATATAGACATTTCAGGTAGTACACTGTTTACGTCATTTTCTTATTTATTCCTAAATGTATAAAAAAATACGAACTTTGAATGAACATAAAATATTCGAATTTAAGGAGGTTCTTCCACGATTGATAGTATCGGGAAAACCTATATTAAAATTTAATTTAAAAATAAATGACAATACTTGATATTGAATAAAACTTGACAATCAGAATTGATTTATTACAAAATTATGAAACTTTTGATCGTTTTGTTTGCAAGGAATCTAAATTCATTTGTGCTATTGTGTTTAGTGTTTAAGAATGTATGACACTTTTATAAATTTCATTTTTCAAGCTTGAATTTGAAATATATGATAAGGTAACTAATACTTTGTTAATTTCCCTCAAAAAAATATATCGTTTCTGATATATTTTATGAAACAATTGAACTTCATGGTCTCATTAAACTACGAGCTATTTGTATCGGAAGTATGTAAAATTGGAAGCAAATTAAAAAATTTGCTATGTTTTATTCATTTTAATGGAAAAAAAATATACTTCTATGAATAGGTGTTACTAGGTTTTTTTTTCTAAAATTAGATAAAAACTTCAGCAAAATGGAATAATGGGTAGTCCAAGATGTTGAATGCTATGCTAATAGTAGTCATATGGAAACTTCTGTTTATAATGAATAATTATAAATCAGTACAATTTTAATGAATACTAAATTATTGTTAGTTAAAATTTAATAATCTTCGAAATAGAACTTATAATAAATGAACTATGCAGGATAGCATCGTCATAAAAACGTTTATAAAGTCATGACAAATAGTTGTGCTGATGTACACGTCGAAAATTATTTTATTAATCGTTAATAAAAAACAAAATAATGTAAAAGAAATAAAAGTTAAAGAATTTTTCTTCAACACTGAATTCTTAATTATAATAAGTTATAATTTTACTCCAGTGCTTCTCGAGTAATAACTATTACCTTATTTGGGTATTTGAAGGTATTACTTACGTGATTATTTTTACTTACGTTTAGCAAAATAATTCTTAGGGCAAAGCGATAAAGTATTTGTATGTTGCAAGTTAAAGATATTGACTTAAGTCGTGATACGATTCATACTATCAGAATACGCAATTATCATTCTGTATGAAAACTACGTTCGGTTTATGAAAAATTATTTGTGAAATATAAATATTGACAATGTCAATTTAATGGTTTACCTCAACAGGTAACACCTTTCTGTTTCACAAATGTAAAGCATCAATTATGCAGATTTTCTTAAGTTACTTTAATTCATTTCAAGTTGACTCACTGTTACAAAATATTAATCATAAGGAGGAAACAAACAGCTTTTGAATAAAAATGATACATCAACAAGAGTTTCAACACTAATTTCTGTACAACCTCTGCCGACTCTCTTATGTTAAATGCTGACGTTTCAAATCACTCATTCGAAACCAAGTATAAATGATAAACAAAACGACATCAAGTTGATGTTTGCAACCACCATTATATAGAAAATGAACGAGTTTTGAATTGCAATCCTAAAAACTTACAATACCAATCGATATTATGTAATGCTAAGATAGTTATTTGTTTTGGTTTTTATGTCAATTTATCTATTAAATCATAACAAATAACAAAATAGAATAGAAGAATAGTCGACGTTTAATTATTTGTATCACTGTTAGAAGAAGTGTGGACGCTACTAAGTATCGTTCTCCCTCCATTTGTATGAAAATGGCTGGCTGATTGTTGCTAAAAAATTCAAGTTATTATAACAAACTATCCGAACGATATTGTAACAATCATGGAGCGAAATTATATTCTTCATAATAACTAAAATAAATTCCATAATAAAATAATTTTACATTGTTTATTAAGCGAAAGCGTAAAAGCCCTTAAATCCAGTATCGTCGAACTGAGAAGAGAGTTCCTCAGATGTTTGGCAGAGCCGGAGACTCCCACTCTCGATCGTCCCCACTACTCAAATTTATATTTGCGCATGCCTATAATTTTTTAAAAGAATTTTTATAATAAAATCATTTGGTTTTTTGAATTAGGGTGAAGCTACTCGACGTCACAGTTCTCTTAAAGAAGCTTCTCATGAGATACGGAGTGGAAGATTTGAAACAAATCACATGAATAACGACTGGGAGATGAATGACCCATTGAAGAGTACAAAAATGATAGGAGTGGTAAGTAATAATGAGCAAAACTCTGATTGAGAAAATAAAAAAAAAGTTCAAGAGCAGAGATCTCAGTTACAAGATAAACCAAACTGAATCATCATGACAGCTCGTAGAAAGGGAGGAAAGGAGGGCGCTAAGCGACATCGTAAAGTGCTTCGTGATCACATCCAAGGAACCACGAAACCTGCCATCCGTCGTCTTGCTCGTCGAGGTGGTGTAAAACGTATCTCTGGATTGATCTACGAAGAAACTCGTGGAGTCTTGAAAGTTTTCCTTGAAAACGTGATCCGCGATGCAGTCACTTATACTGAGTACGCTAAGCGTAAGAGTGTCACGGCTATGGATGTAGTCTACGCATTCAAGTGTCAAGGACGTACACTCTATGGATTTGGTGGTTAATCATCAGCTCTTGAAAACAAATGCCAGATATAAAGCAAGCACATATATCAAGACTTACAATTGATAATAGTGATGAAGAAAAAGATTCAAGATCACAGGACAGATTGAGTGATTCAGAATGTGAACAATCGACAAGAATTTCTCCGGTGCCAGTTATTCCAGCTGAGAAACGAAGATCTCGATTAAGTTTTTCATCAAGAAAAGATGGAAGAACTAATAAAAATAGTGGGTCTGAAGACGATCCTCGTTGGAGAAGAATACCAATAAAGCAAAGTAAGTTTACAGAGTCTCTAACAAAAAAACAAGTTACATCGCCGAATAATTCAGACAGTGACAATAGTCGGACATCAAAACTTCACAAAGAAGATGCTGGAAATTTTCAGGATAAAAAAAATGATACATTGCGAAAGCTATTCTCGACTGCCAAGGGTGGAGTAGAGTGGAAAAAGTGGAGGAAAATGTGGTATGTCATTGGAGTTTTTAGTCTCTTATGTAAACTCGACCTCAACAGAATTCCACACATACTACAAGCCTCTAGGGGTCAGGAATTTGCAATTAATTCACAACAAAGGCAATAATCAATAATACTTCACAACAATAAACTGATTGAATCGTAGGGTCGCGAAGACGAATATTTTTTTCGAATTAATTTAGGCAAAAGGATGTCTGTTCATTAAATTATATCACGTTGATGAAATAAAATTATCTACATTGGGAAGCTTATAAGGTAAATAATAAAAACAGTCGTCATATCAATCGATAAATCTTAAAAAACTTAATTCTACTTAAAAATTGCAAAAATGATTAATAAAACAAAAGAGGAAACAACAAAGGCAAATATGTTAATCTCGGTGATAAATGTGAATAAAAATTGTACTGTTTATATGCTCATCGAAAAAACCTAGAAAGAAAGATGACTACCATGGAGACATGAATGCCGAAATGTTCATGAAGTGGTTAAAAGAGAGGATAATCCTCAACTTAACTCAACCATCTGTCATTATTATGGATAATGCTGCATATCATTCAGTCCAGGTTTGTATTTTGTCTGAAATCCGACACATTTCAGCAATTACATTGTTTGCAAAAAATTGTACTCATTTCTATTCTTCCTATTCTCAAAATATTCTGCTTTAAAATTGACTGAATGAATCGAGATAAAAAAATCAAAAGAATAACAGGCAGTAAGTTGCTCATGCGTACTAAATTGTTTATGCTATCGAATGCAATTCTAGCGAAAAATCCAAGTTATCTTCAATTGTGGGGTGTTAATCAGAGTTCTATTGTTGAGTCAGTAGAGTTTAAAGAAACTTTATCAGCAATGGCTATATCAGATGATAGAACATTTGGTGCCGTTGGAACAATGTTTTCTGAAACTGTTGATATTTTTATTGCATTCAGCCTGCACGTGCTCTTTATGTTCCTGGTGCTTACAGCATGTTTGTAACTGGGTAAGAATTCTTGCCTACTAAATGTTATGAACCTGCTAACACAAGCAACTCAGAAACTGCTGTTGTTAGTATTGTAGTTGATAATAGGATTTGTACTCATAACATACCTTTAAGACGAAAGTTCATTTCGACATGTATTTTATTTATAGTGCTGATAAATTGTTTATGAGTCTTACCAGAGAACATTACATCATGGACATCGTCTTGAAAGCTCATATTGTGTGAGATCTGTTATGAAATAAAATATGCTACTTTTATAAGAATATTTATTGTAGAAAAAATTGATTAAGTTACTTATATTATTTTGGATTTAAATTCTTGTCTATGTATATATGGAATGTACTTATTTAATTTCTCTTTCACTGATTCCTGATTTAATTTGCCATGAAACTTTTATTGCATAAAATTTTCTATCAAAATTAAATAAAATCAAAGCAATGAACTGTACTGGTTATATTTTGTTTTGTACCTATATTTACATTCAATTATTTTATTTCATGTAGAATCATTTAATTTAAAAACAATTTACTTTATGTTCCATTTATGTTGTGTAATTTTCCATTCTAATGCTGCAAGCTCCAACGACCTCTACAACCAATCGGCGCGTAGGAAATACATACCATCCAATCAAAAAGCAGTCCTTCTTCTGGTTTCCAGTAGCTATCGCTACGCTTTTGATTCTCTGTGTGAAAAAAGCTTAAAAAACCTTTCCAAAGCGAGATCCATATTTTATTTTATTTTCTATTAATACTTTCATTATCTAATATATATTACAATACTATTTGCTTGCTTAAATTAACGTTTATTTCAATACTTTTCATTCTAACCCTCTCGGCTGCTATATCAGCATCGCTTTTCTTTTTTTTTTATCTCTCTTTTTTCCTATTTTTTACTTCCTGCTTTTCATTTTATTGCTTAAAAGTAGAAATAACATAGATTGAAATTAATTTTACCTTAGATTTTAAGTGCTTCCATTAATAACCTATTGATAGCTGCTCCAATATTTTATAAGGTTTTGACCATTTTGCACGTCCATTTGCTGCTGCTAATTAATCATTTTTTTGAGTTCTTATCTTAGTAAATATGAATTAGGTAATTATAGATTGTAAGAAGCATCAGAAGAGGACAGCATGGACATCATCAACAGCTTCAGCAAGGATGAAGTTTCAATCGCCAAATGCAGGCTAACATTTTTGCAGTTTATGATTTTATGACTGCAGAATTAAAAAACCATTGACCAATTATCCCAATTCATCGTGTCAGGTAACTTTTACATTTCATTATTGAAATTAATTACTAATTTTTGTATATGTGACTTGTCACTTTTGGTTGGTTTGTTCAACAATTAATAGCAAAAAATTTTTCATAGAGAAAGAGTAGCATGTGCCTTGAAAATCAGCGTGAAATCGGTGGATGAATATGTGGCTACTGGTGAAGCTAATGGAATGTTCGATACACCAGGAAAAGAACGGCCTGAATCAGTGAGCAAGAGAAAAATAAAAAAGGAAGTCCAGGATCAAATCATCAACCTTATCTACACTTTATGTGCTCAACATAAGTTCACGATTTTTCTAATAATATTTCTTATTGATATAATTTAACACAAAACCCACACTGTTCTTTTTTTTGTGAATTTGCTTCATTAAAGACGATGAAGTTAATGTTAATAGATAACTTGTGTGCATACTTGTAAAGTATGTGAGTTGAAATTTTTAAAATACTCTACTTTATTAATCTTGGAATATTTAAAATTGTAATTAGACTACTTTTCAATGAACATATCGATAATTGATGTTTAAATAGAAATTTTTCTTTATTTTATGTAGTTTTACAAACACTTTTAATTATTTTTTTCTTATTTGCAACCAATTTGCCAAGAAATTCAACTCAACGCAATATATAATTATGCATAAATCGTTCAAAATAATGTCAGTAAAATCATCATATCTTATAACATCGCACTACAATTGTTCACAAAACTTAATCATGCTTTTCTTATATGAAGATTATTCTGCTCCTGCTGCATTTGGATGCATTCGGCCTTGCTTGCGTATTTTAGGTCGCACTGTAACTATTGCCTTACTACTTACGGAGATCAGGTGCATAGATTTCTCTTTTATAATTTATATAATTCTATTTGGTAATTGCATCGGTTAATCACTTCATCTTTGATCATCTTGAAAGTTTATTATGTCGTATAGTTGTTATGCTAAAAAAAACATGTATCCATTGACTTATTTCTGTCAACGATATATATAAACGATGAAGACATATATAATCGAGGCAAAATGGTATATTTCATACATATAGTTCCATTACTCTAAAAAATTATTGTATTGATAAATTACTAAAATTAGTGCCACGATTGTCATTTTTACCATAAACCGATTATGTGCTTTCTGCACCCTATATATGCATATTAAATTAAGTAGTATAATCACCTCTACAACATACAAAATTTTCAAAGTTATTAGAGCTGTAGGGCTTCAACGATACAATTACCTTCTTCTTACTTTTTTATTGTATTATTTTATTTCACTGCAACGAAATTATTTCATTGTATTTCGGAAACTCGGAATAAGATGACTTTTTCAAAACAAATCTCCTGTAGCATGATTTTTGCACTCCTTTGTTTCTATGCATTGAACTGTTTTTACCTAAAAAATGGCAACTATAATGACATACACACTGCATTACCACCAATCTATCACAAGGATAGAAATCTCGCTACAGGAGACACGTCACATAGCACACACTTCTAATTCTTTCTTTTTTTGTACCAATTTTTTAAGATCTTAAAATATAAAATTTGACAGAAAATGTGATAATTGAAATTGATCAGTACATCCAAGGTCAATTGTCATCATTACATACCCTTGTCGATGCTCTTTAGACATACATCGAAATATTTGAGCCAGAGCTGGATACCCATGGATTCCTCTTTATGGGAAATGCACAAATAGTTACATTTAAAATGAATGTATCGTCAAATTCTTGTTTCCTTCTCAATTCTCATTGTGTCAATGCCAGCAATTGTTATCCGACTGCGAAAGAAAGAGGTTTTGCTTATTTATTCTACTGCAATACACCAGAAGCTCTCGTCGAATTATTACTTGCTGATCACCCGAGGAATCAAGCATATTAGCAAATATATGCAATCCAAGTGTGGCGTTGAAGAAATGATTATTGTAAAGGAATTCTATGTTGAATTTCAATGTAATTCATTGTGAGTATTTTATATATATAGAATTTTCAGAAGACTTTGTTACATCAAAATCTCATTTCAACCATATATAATACAGATCGAATTACTGCAACTTCATTATTCATGGCACAATGTATACGTACAAAATATGTCAACAAAACAGAAGGTAATTATTTTTACTTAACATTATTTATCCCTAACATTTGGAAGTTTTAAAAATTATAAATTTCAGCCTCTCTCTCACATCGGGTACTGGAAGAAGAGGTATGTGTGAATTATTTATCATCATTGATCCATTTGATAGTTAATCTAAAACATAAATACTGAAATTATTTCATTTTTTT